GAAACTTGAAGACATTTGTCCTTTTCTAGCTATTTAATTCCCATCACTTTAACAACTTATGTTTTGTATATGCACGAATTTATTTATTTGGTGTAGTTTGAAAACTTATATAATAGTCATGCACTGCCAAATGTAGTCATTTTAGTGTTGTTGATTTGTTGTTGTGCGATACTTTTTCATATGAAGTAGACTCTTATGAGTCTACTAGTAGAATCTACAAATTGCTGAGTTTGATAACCACGATGTATAGTCTGGCTCTACACTAATGTATATTTAGTTTTGCAAGTATGAATAATTGAAAATACGTCTCTGAGAAATCAGAGACAAAGGCTACAACCTATGACGTACTAGATACAAAAGCAACTCTATAAAAGCTATACATCAAAAGATAATCATCATTATTCAACATATGCATAGAAAATCTTGCCTAATCATCATCACAATATCTAGAAACTTGGTTGTCCCCCTTATCCTCTGTTAGGTTTCTGGGTATGAAACCTAACTGTCTCACAGCACACACTCACTCAATAGCACCCAAATGGTAAGAAAAGAATGAAAATATGTATTCACATCAACCAATGTCATGTACAACCAGTAACTGGGAGCATAATCCCCCTCCACAGGATCAAGGTTCCTGTCTATACAATTGATATCAAAAACTCTCCCTCTACCAGACCCTCCCTTGCCTTCTTATAAAGGTAGCCCACTTCTAACTACCCAACAACAATTAATTCCTAAACTGAACAATTAATTCTTCAACTGTTTTCTCTCTCCTGCACACCTAATACCCATTATAACCTATCATATTAAATCCTATCATCCTCCCTTTTCCTCATACAATAATCCTTGCTAGGAGCCTTTTTGATATATCTAAAAAATTGCATGACAACATTCCAGTGATCAATATGAGGATTATGCATGAATTGACTAAAAGTCCCAATTGGAAAAGAAAGATTGGGTTTGGTGATTGAGGTAAATGTGCTTCTGCACTAATCTCCTATATCTCAAGATCTGAGAATGATTCACCTCGATCAATTTGTAGCTTTTGATTGGTTTCCATGAGACTATCAATAGATCTCCACTCAGTCATGCCCGATTCCTCTAAAATTTTCATACCACATTTTCTCTGATACCACAATGCCTTGCTTTGATCGGACTCCTCAATACCAAGAAAGTATTTTAAACAACCAAGATCTTTGATTTAAAAGTGACAAAAATAGGTGTTTTTTCACCTTGGAAATTTTAGCAGCGTCATTTCTTATAACAACAATATCATCAACATAGACAATTAAGTAAACACATTTCTTGGGAGAAGTGTGGCAACAAAACATTGAATGACCTGTTTTAGTTCATTTCAATCCAAATTTCAACATCACATTACTAAATTTCTCAAATCAAGCTCTATGAGATTGTTTGAGACCATATAGAGATCTTCACAATTTGTAGAGTAAACCAGACTCCCACTTAGCAACAAATTCAGGAGTATGCACGGTATAGATCTCCTCATTTAGGTCACCATGATGAAAGACATTTTTAATGCCTTTTTGATGAATGATTAATAGTGAATGACAACCATAGCAAGAAAAATTTGAACTGTTGTGATTTTTGCCACATGAGAGAAGGTATCACCATATATCCAACCTATAGTGTATCTCTTAGTCACTAATTTGGCTGAGACAATTAATTTCACCATTGGCTCCAACTTTAATGGCATATACCCATCTACAACCAATTGGTTTCTTTTTACGAAAAAGAGGAACCAACTCCCATGTTTGACTATTCAAGAGCCTACATTTCAACGATCATGGTTTGTCGTCATCCAAAATGATAAGGTGCTTCTTGAACATTTTTTAGAATAGTAAATGAAGATATAGAGGAAATATATGAATAATACAAAGGGGATAGAGAATGATAACTCAAAGTTGTAAATAGGATTGGGTTCTGAGTATACCGAATACCTTTTCTAATTGTGATGGGCCAGCTTGAATTATCGTCATTAGGATCCGTGGTAGGAATATTTGACAGTGAAGGGCATTAAACTAGTTACAGGACAATAATTCAGAATGATTTATCATTCTTGAATCATATTTCAATATTTCGACTGCTTCATATCTGTCTGAATGTTTTCATTTTATTGCCTCCAACTGGTATAATTCGTGATGTTAATGAAAATGAAAATAATCTCTAGTTTTCTCTTAAACCATCTTAATCTGTTGATGGCATCTCACTTTAATGCTGTACATTAAAGTTTCTTGATGTCTAGAAATGTAATTTTCATCTTCACAACATTCATTCTTTATTTTTTGTGTATTCAGATATATATTTAGATAGTGTATTTTATATCAAGATTTGGTTTAAGAATTACATATGTATAATTATTAATTATTTTAACCTGAGATTATAATGCTTAAGAATTATTAAGTATTTTGATGTTGATGACGTCATGATATTCGGTCTTCCTATAATGCCAGATGCATCTTGATGCAAGGACTTTCCGCGGTAGAGTTTTTGAGAACTATGATCAATTCTGCATTATCTTTGGCAATGAACCTTTGCATTGGGATGAATCTGAGCCTTGTGATGCAGTTAACTATGATATCAATGTTAGAGATCCTGGAAGGCAAGTGCGGTGGACAAGTGACATGGACAGTTGTTTAAGTGCAATCCTTGTGCAGCAAATAAAAAAAGGCAACAGAAGCGAATTTGACTACAAATGGAGGCCTGCTGCATTTGAAGCATCTGTCCTGGCTATTAATGAAAAGTTTAAGCTGTATTTGACGAAAGATCATGTGAAAAATCGTCTAAAAACATGGAAAAGACAGTATGATATTCTGAAGGAACTTATGAACCACAGCGGATTTGAATGGGATGAAAAGCGAAAAATGGTCATTGCAAATGATTCTGTATGGAATGAATATGTTAAGGTACTTATAAGCTTACTTTTAGTTTCTGTATGACAGTTTTTACTGCATAAGGATATTTTTTATCCAATTTGTAACAATTGTACCTTTTTGGAACAGAATAACCCTGATGCTCGGCTCCTTAAAGGACGAGTTATCAGAAACTACAATGAATTGCGCATAATTATAGGTCATTGTGATCCACATGATAGTCCCATGAGTGGTGCTTGTGCTACTATGGGTATGACTACAGACAATGGTGTTATGGAGGTTCAAGAGACAAACTGCCGTAGAACCAACTATGCAAAAGAAAAAGGAAATAGTGTGACATGGACAGATGAGATGGATCATTACTTGACAGAGTTGCTAGTCAATCAAGTATTGTTGGGAAACAAGCTAGAGAAAAATTTCAAGACCTCAGCATATATGGCTGTTGTAACTGCTCTAAATGAGAGATTTGACCTAAATATAACCAAAGAAAACATTATAAGCCGATTGAACATATGGAAAAAACAGTATGGCCTTTTGAAAGAGATGCTCTCTCAAGGGAGTTTTGGGTGGGATGAGGAATGTAAGATGATTGTTGCAACCAACTTAGAATGGAATGAATACATTAAGGTATATTCAGTTTTGCTTAGTATTAAATTAGTGTCGAAGTTTCTCTTTTTTATTATATTTATTTGCTATTGCAATACTTAAGCTCCTAATTGGTTATCAAGTTTAGGCCAATAAATCCAGTGATATGGTGATAATCTTCAATTGTTACCCCACCTAGTCACTTGAAGCTGTTTAAATTAAACCAGAGACCCATCATAATAATAACTAACAAAATGCATCCACATTGCCTACGTGTCATGTATTGTGGTTGGTTTCATTTGCTAGCAACTACAACCACAACCTCAACTGCATATTTCACAACTTTATCCCGTTGCACTGCTGAACAATGTTTTTCTGATTCATGTTTGGCCTGTGGTTATTCAGAAACATCCGGATGCTAGGCATTTGAGAGACCAGCACATAGCGAACTACCATGAATTATGTATGATTGTTGGTAATGAGCAAGGAACTGGAAATTGGTCCGAAAACTCTGAGAGGTTTGATGTAAATATTACACCTAACTATGAAGAGCATGCAGAAACTCCAGCACTTGTGTTGCCTAATGCAGAGCTGAGCCATGATGATGATGCAAGTGATGAAGTGCACGGCTCATCTGAGCAAACAAGGGCAAGACCTTCATCATCACAATCACATTCGGAGCAACCGTCAAAACGAAGGCGCACTTGTGATGTTTTGCTACAAATGATGAGTGTTATGGCCGCAGATATAAGTCGGATAGCTGATGCATTAACTGAAACTAACAGCAGAGTGTGCTTAGAGGAAGTGGTGGAAAAGGTACAAAATATGACTGACTTTGACGATGATCTCATCATCGAAGCTTGTGAGTATTTATGTTTTGATGAGAAGAGGGCATTCATGTTTTTGAAATTAGAAGACAGATTAAGGAAAAAGTGGTTGATGAAACGATTGCGAGGTCAATAAGGTAGTTTCATAGATTTTATTTTATTTTATTTTTTTTTATTTTTTCTACATTGAAAGTCGTGCGTAAAATGGACTAAACCTTACATGAAATGAGCTAAATATGCACCTACCTTCTGTGACTCAAACTGGTTTTTGTGCAAAATTCATTCAAACACAAACTTGGTGGCCTGTTTAAGAATTAAACTTACTCTCGTTGAAAATTTTGCATTGATACTTTTACATTCATCATAGGGCAAGTGCAAAGCTGTATAAGAGAATTTTACTTAACACAAAATCAGACCCCATGGTAATAACAATGATAATTACTTGCCCAGAAGACAAGGCAATAAACAAACAGCAGAAGAAGGAAATTTGACAGCACCCTTGTCATCCATAACTTTTTTCCCATTCCTCCCCCTTAACGTTAGTTCTTCTTATAACATAAAAGTAACAACCTAAACTAGGGGTGACCTAGAGTAAGTACATGCCAAGAAGAAATTCATAAAATCATCTTCAAGCAACTATTTTCTTTTAACAACCTACATAAAAAAAATAAAATAAAATAAAATCTATGAAACTACCTTATTGACCTCGCAATCGTTTCATCAACCACTTTTTCCTTAATCTGTCTTCTAATTTCAAAAACATGAATGCCCTCTTCTCATCAAAACATAAATACTCACAAGCTTCGATGATGAGATCATCGTCAAAGTCAGTCATATTTTGTACCTTTTCCACCACTTCCTCTAAGCACACTCTGCTGTTAGTTTCAGTTAATGCATCAGCTATCCGACTTATATCTGCGGCCATAACACTCATCATTTGTAGCAAAACATCACAAGTGCGCCTTCGTTTTGACGGTTGCTCCGAATGTGATTGTGATGATGAAGGTCTTGCCCTTGTTTGCTCAGATGAGCCGTGCACTTCATCACTTGCATCATCATCATGGCTCAGCTCTGCATTAGGCAACACAAGTGCTGGAGTTTCTGCATGCTCTTCATAGTTAGGTGTAATATTTACATCAAACCTCTCAGAGTTTTC